TATATATATAACTGGCTTTTTGTTTGTACTTTCTAATTAGCTGTGTTTCTATTCAGGTTGCGGCTTTACTGCTCTTGTCTCAACAGGAAGAAAGGCATTTATTACAGAGAAACGTAAATACAGCCCTTCAGAAAAAAATAGACGAGCTTCAGAGAAATTTACTTCAAGTAATTTTTTCTCTTCTGAGGTCTGACAGTTGAATTAGATGCTATTGTCCTTCCCCCCTATGAAAGAAAATTGGGGAAAAAAGGAGTAAATAAATTTCAATATATGAATAGGTCAATAATAGACACAAGGATATATTTTGAAACCCACGTCTATAACTACAGATGCATGCATAGACCATAAAGCACAAGTGTAAGCGATATTTTGCTGTTAACTGATTTTTTTATTATTATTATTTCAAAAATTGATAGTTTTAAAAGTTTGAATCAATGTTTTGGAATTTGAACGAAAGAAAACATATCAGATTATGTGTTACATTCCTTGGTTAATAGAAACAAGAACTTATTTTGTTCTCAAGACTAGACCTTTAACTGTAGATTTGTAGTTTCATATATTGAGTTGCTTCTCCCATGTTAAACATGATTAACTTTCAATGGCTGTGTTGGTTAAACTTTTCGCTGACATACTTGACTTCTTAATTCAGGTTACCAATGAAAAGGTGAAAGCTCTTATGGAGCTGGCATGCTTGAAGCAGAAATATCAGTCACTTAAAGAGTAGGATTTATTCTTTACTTCAGGATATATTTGTTTAGTTTGTTTAGTCAATTTTTGGTTCTTATGCTCAATTTCTTTGTTGAAGATTGAAATACGTTAATAAGTGCAAGCCTCCTTATCTTGATCACTTATTTGATAGAACATTTCCTCAAATGTTGTTGCCATTAGTGGGTCAGTGGGAAGTGATCTGACTTATATGCAATACAACTGTGAAAATTGATGTTCTACTTGGTCTACACTTTAAACTTATAAGGCCCTAGGCAAAATTCCACAAAGATACATCCTCGTGAACTTATTATAACCTATCAAACAACAGAAGATTCTCATTTAATGTTCCTTTTGTTCTTCTGTGGAATGGGTCCATAAATAAAAGACTTATAATTCCTGTATGTTTCGTATCTATTGTATATCTTCATAAACCCCAATTTAATTAGACAGCCCTAGTTTTTCATGAGATTTGAATCCAGACATGGCTGCCCCTTCTCCATGCTTTTAGAGCATGGCTTGTTGGGAAAACTTCTAATTCATAAAAATACAGGAACATGGCCAACTTTTTTTTCCCTATGGTGTCCTTTCTTTGTGAATTATGTATTTAGTTATCCTCTCTCATTTTTCTCATCTTGGTTTTCTTAGTTTCTTCTTTTGGCATGTATCTCCATTTCTACTGATTGTTTTGCCTTTAGGGCCTAATGGTTGTATCACTTGCTAACGTGACATCATGATGCAGGAAAACCAGTAATGAGATGAAGCAAGGGAACCTTTTAGATGAAACTGGGGAGAAAAGAATTGGTACAAATGAACGACATGGAAGGCTAAGAAACCTGCTGAAGAAAACATATCTGAGACGTTGGGTTGGTACATTAGATAATGGTGGAAATGAAACAGAAGCTCATCCAAATAATGATGGAGATTTCTCTGACAGAATGTTTAGTATGAGTATGGATTTTGCAGGGTATAAAATACTGTTGAGCTTTGACTTTCTTTGAATTGCATTGTCTTGTGATGCATGAGTATTAGATGGTTCTTGTGTTTGTGTGCAAGCAATGTCCTTTATTTCATATGCGGACCTTTCTATTGAATATGCTTCCCAAGGTACTTGTGCATTATTTTCTTCCATTCCTGCATTTTTAATACTATTTCATTTTCCAGAATGAAGATCGAAAATGCAATGCTTAAGGAGAGCATTGAAAGCATGGAGCACCTTACTTCATCTGTTCATAGACTACGCCTTTCTCTTCTGAAGGTAAACTTCCAGTGTCCCATCATGTACAAAAATATCACCAAAGCATTGATTTGCATTTTCTTTGCTTAGTTCTGACTTGAGTTGTGGGATTCTACAGTGCCATAAATGCTTGATTTGGAATTGTGATCCATGCAGAATTTCCTTAAATTTGATTGATATTTGGATTAAAAATTGTTCTTGGTTATTTTTAAAAGTCTCATAACATGTTGCAATTGTCTCGTGTTAGAATGACTTCTCCAATACATGATCTTTTTGGAATCTAGTTCATGATTGTAATATCTTTACTGTTTCTGTATGAAACTAATGACTCTAGGCCTTTCACCTACATTACTGCCGCACTTGATTTATAGGTAAAAGAGTCTGTTACCTCTGAAGGCATGGAAATAAGTTTGTTAGAAGCTCTTGATGAGATTATTAATGAGGCAAGACTTGTTAAGACTGCCCTTGGAAGCTCCCTACCAATTAGTTGGTCAGCTGAAGCCGATATTGGATTGACTGGGGAAAATGCTGGAAGCGAGTTTGGTGATGTCTATGAAGATTGCAGCAGGGACAAAATAGACTCGGTCACTGCTGCAGGGTTTGAAATGGTGGAACTTGTAAAGCTTGCCGCTCAGATATTGAAGGAAAGAACTATAGCAGGTTCTTGAACAAGAGGGCAATCTATGCATCAGATGGCACATTTGATACCAGACACATATCTGTACAGGTTTTGAAACTGTTAAATGGGTAATTGAATTAGGTGTAAAATCAAATTCATATTGAAAGCGTTAGAGGCAAAAAAAATGGGTCTGGCTTCGTCATGGGAGCATGGTAACAAGGGTGCAATGGTGAGGGCCACCGGAACAATGTTCATGTTGGTGTGTTGTTCATGGAGAATATCAGGGGATCTAGGCTTCCCCCACCCCCTGTAACTGTACATGGTTGTAATCTTTCTGTTGCTTGTGTGATGTACAGTTAAATTTCGATTGAATTAATTCTGCACATAATTCATAGAAGCACAAGAGCTGATAGATCCAAACTCTTTATATTCACCTTATAAAATCAAATTGTTCATAAATTATAGTAAATATGTTGAATCTATTTTTATATCTTGATCTATGGAATCAACTGATTCTAATGCCATTAACGTCACTCTTTTTCTCTGCCAGCAGTAGCATTGAAGTAAAAGAATAAAAATAAAAATAAAGGAAAAGTAGAAATTGAGACAAAGATGATATTTCAAGCCACAGGCCCACAGCAATTTATATACTTCAAGCAAAGGCTGCAACAAACCATGACCAGTCTTATTTAAGCTAAAAACCATCATTATCAGTCTTATATAAGCAAAAGTTCTACCTTATGCAAGAAACCCAATAACACATCATTATCAAATTTCATCTTGCAATTGACACAAAACCATTGCAGACTCCTGTCAAGAACACAGCAACAAAACCTAAGAGGGTTGGCAGGGGAATGGAGACGTAATAGAAGGAAGACCAGTTTGTTCAAGCAGATCAAGATTCAGCTGCAATTTCCACAGCAGTAACTTGCTGGGTCATGGGGCTTTTGTCGCGTTCATTCTCGAGCTGGCTATAGTTTCCTTTCTCCTTGAAGAGTTGGATGTGGTGATGTTTGCAGTAGAGCTTTCCCTCATGTGCAATGTAGTTTGATGGACTAATGGTACAACCTCCATGGGTGCACTTGAAGCAGCTCTTGTGGTACGCAGTTCCATTCACAGTAACCTTCAAGAACATAAAAATATTTATACCCAAAACAACATACAAATTCTGACTCAGCCTTTTGCAGTTAAACAAACATCAAGCTATCTTAGAGATTGTTATTACCTTCTCAATTGGATAGACAGTCTTACTACAACCAACACATTTCTCTCTGGTGCCCCCAAAATGATTCAAGACTTTCTGTGCATTCTGTTAAATCCAATTCATGAGTTTAATCCACAACTACCATAAGGGAAATAGAGTAGACTTGATATAAACGGAGGGAATCATAAGGAACATAGTTCCTTGAAGTCAATCACCTCATTTTCAACAACTTTCTCAGGTTTCACAATCTTTGGGGTTCCTGAAATAATAAAGAGAGAATTTAAAGCAGATGTTTCCTAAGCTTGACAACGATGGAAATATTCAAAGAGAGGCTGATTACAGAATTTACAGATTGTTTTTACCTTCGAAGCTCTTGTCCAGACTACCAGTTCTCTTGAAGAGCTGATCAAAGTGAGGCCTGCAGTAAAGAACCCCCTCAAAAGAGTTGAAGTTGCTAAGCTGCAAATAAAGGGAAAAAATGGTTATGGATATTTGTTCATGGGTGTATACACGCAGGTTATGGTTCTATGGAGATTGAATAACAGATAGCTGAATTACCCCCTTAAAACTCTTTTGGATAAATGATGAAGAACACCAACCAAGAAAAGATCTTCATGAAAAATCCCCACTTCAAACACCCATAATTGAGAATAGTTTCTTTCTTTGTTATTGACATTAAAACAAACACATAGATTGCAAACAAAGAGATAAGAAGATCTTATATACGCGGTCCTTACAGGGAAAAAACAGCTACAGAAATTTATGTTAAAGGGATATTTAATTACCTTCAGGGTACCATTACAATGGTGGCAACGGAAGCAAGCCTTGTGATAAACCCGGTTATCAGCAGTTAACTTATCGACTAAGTAAACTGTTTTGTTGCAGGCCATGCATTTCTGTTGAGCACCTCCAAGTGTGGCCATTTCTGTCTGTCTGTCTTGGCTTATTAGGAAGAATAGACTTTGGGGGAGAAAGTATAGAAACTCTATACTCTTTTATTAGTGGAAAACCAAGTTCCAAATTCACTTTCTTCCCCTTTGGATCCCTTTTGTCCTGAATTCAATCCTTGTGTCCTCGTTTATTAATAGCAGGGAGAAGGAAAAAAATGGAGGTACAAAGTGACAAGAGATATTTCTTGGTACATTTGGAGTTAACTACTTAGAATTACAAATGTTTGAATCATTGATTTTGATTCGGAATCAAAGGCTTTACAATTAGTAGGTAGGCCAAACCCTTGTGGGTACAAAGACATTTCTTGGTTAAGCTGATTTATAGATGATGGGTTGGCAACCTTTGGGACGAAATTGATATCAATTGAAGCTCAGGACTAAACCATTATTAATCTAAAACTACAGCAGCCAACTTGACAATTTTTCCAAAGAGAATTGAATAAAGATCATATGCAAATTAAGAAGCTGTAATGTTTCCATCAAAAAGACCAAAAAAGATGTAACGTTGAAGCAATCACATTGATTGAGGTAAAAGTGAAAAGAAGGGTTAGAGAAGAAGTGATATTGATGATACTTTAGGTGGATAAACAAGATTGAAATTTTTTTTCTCTTTTTGCCCAAAAGTGGTGGACAGAATTCTAGCATGATGACTTAGGCAGCTGGGTTGATAAAATTGGTTCCACTTTTTCATTTTTCTTTCTGTAATTAGTTCTTTTATGACTGCATGATTAATAGCATTTTAGGGGCCACTACAATGTGCAGTATCTACATAATATCAATTACAATAAATCTTCATTTATTTCTTCTTTTTTTTTAGCATCTAGAGATTAGAGATTGAATCTTAAATCTGTAATTAAAAGTATAGATAACTCTATCACTAGATCACATGACTAATGATTTTATTTATTTATTTATTTCTACCCTACATAAATTGAATACTCTTATTATAACTTATATGAGAAATAATTCACCCACAATCCATCTTATAAGAGTCTTAGGTTTGAGAAAGAGTATTCGGCACTATAGCGGAGAAGACTTTGGCAAAAGATTTTGCCAAAGACAAAAGAAAAGAAAGGAAGGGGGAGTTGGATTAAGATGCTACTATATAAAGATAAGAAATTTTCAATAACGGGCATTTGGTTAAGTGGTATGATTCTCACTTTGGGTGCGACAGGTCTCGAGTTGGGGCATTCTTATCAGCTCTTGTGGTGTGCGACTAAAGCGATTTCAACTTAAGTTTAAGGACTAATCTAACTATTGTTCTAAAACTTCAGTGGCCAACCAGGCAAGTTAGCCAAAAAGAATTGATCACTGATCATATATGCAAACTAAGAAGTAATGTTGAAGTAATCATTTTGATTAAGGAACGTAAAAGTGAAAATGAGAGTTAGAGGAGCGGTGATGTTGATGATATTTTAGGTAGATAATTTATCAAGATTACATTTCTTTTTGCTGATATATATATATATATATATATATAAAGATTACATTTGTTTTATCCTTTTGCACAAAAGTGGTGGACCTAGGGTTTGAGTACAAGTTCAAACATGATAAATTAGGCAGCTGGATTCACAAAATTGGTTTTCTCCTTTCTTTCTTTCAGCGATTAGTTCTTTTATAATTATCCCTCGTGATTAATGGCAATTTAGGTGCCCTAAATTGGGCAACATCTACATCATAACAATTGTACATCATCTTTATTTTTTAATTGGCAGGCCAAGTGATTCAATTCTATAAGAGAAGGGTTGAGAGTTGAGGATTATAGATTTAAACCCTTATTTGGTGCTTAAAGAAGACTATAAGGTATTAAACTTGGGTTACTTGAACTATATAGATAGTATTCACGATCTTTTTTTTTTTTTTCTCTCTCTTTATTCTTCAACAGATTAAAATTTTAAACTATAAAGTTTCATGATTAATCACTATCTATTACTTGCAAAATGCAAAATTACCTTCAATTGTACTCATCAATATAACCTGAATTAGTTTTTCAATTTTCTCATGATTGTCCTTAATTAACCTAAAAATATTCACACAAATAAAACCTTTCGAATTAAAAAAAAAAAAAAACAAAAGTTCAGTAAAATTTGAACTCTTCATCTTGACTTCATAATCAAGGTTTTGAAATTAATGAATAACAACACTGCTAAACTTTTGTTCAGTTTCATCAACCAAAACAAAAATATTGATGTGGTAGCACATTTTGATCACCCTTTTTCACTTCCTCTTTCCCTTTAGCAAATTAAGTTACTTTTCCTTAAAATGAAAAGGGCAAATCTGTATTCATCTCCTAGTATTATTCTGTTTTTCACGTATAGAATTATAAATCATATTACAAATAATTTCTAGTATCACTTCGTAAACCCAAATGGAGCATAAGTTCATCCAAGCTTCCTATGTGCCAAGGCAAAATTTGATTAAATTTTCTCAAGAGCAATCTCATTCAAGAGTGCTTTTAGAAGAATAAAAAGGCAAGACTTCCTATCTAACTTCTCATGGCAAAAGAGACTACTTGCAGCAGCAAATGAGAAGACTCTGGTCACCAAAGGATTTCAACAAACCCAAAACAAACCAGCAGAGGACAGTTGGAGAAAGATCTAACAATACAACCGGTGCCCATCAACGGGCATTTGGTCTAGTGGTATGATTCTCGCTTTGGGTGCGAGAGGTCCCGAGTTCGATTCTCGGAATGCCCCCCCATTTCTCTTTTGGCTGTTAATCAATAGCCAGGCTGCTTGTGCTGTTAGGTGAGCAAGCCAACCAACCTTCATAAGTCACCAACTAAAGAATTGATGGTTCTTTCATATAGGTTTTTTTTTTTTTACCAAAATGGATTGCAACTCTTTAGCGTCCTGTCTTTGTAGTGAAACGATATATTGATTTGAAAGAAGACAGAGAAAAGTCTTACTAACACTAATAGAAAATATTTGAGAAAAATCTATTATTATAAATTGAATACAATAATTGTAAAAAATAAAGTATTTGATTTAGTTTTATAATTCTTGCTTTGGGTACAAGAGGTCTAAAATTCGATTCTTGGAAGTTGGAATGACCCACTTGTTCCTTTTAGTTATCTTAACCAGTCCATAGTTTGAATTATAGAAATCTGGTTAAATAATTAGCAAACCCATAGTTTTAAAGAAAGCAACAATCATAACTTAAATGTCAAATTTCATGAAAACTCTCATAAAATGGGCATTTGGTCTAGTGGTATGATTCTCGCTTCGGGTGCGAGAGGTCCCGAGTTCGATTCTCGGAATGCCCCATTGTTCAAGAAATTTTTTTATGGTAATGAATAAAACTGAATTCATTCATTAACTTTTTAAAAAGATTACTACATACCGGCATGTGACTAGACTAAACAGTCCTTGAGAACAATGTTAATAATATGTATTCAGAACAAATAAGTAATTTTTTTAATATATTAGAGAATTAGTTGTTTAGTATTATAAAGGTTTAAATCTCTAACTTTAACCCCAAATTAAGATTGTAAAATAGTGGATATTAACTCTGTTAAACTTTTATTAGTAAAACAAACAAATAATAATATCAAAGGTTGAACAAGTTGCACAAGACAGGTTCATTTCTTGGGGCTAGTAACATAAATTAACCAGATCAATAATATATACTGTATAGACAAGATAAGAGAGTTGAAACTTAGTATTTTGGATTAATCGGATGAATAAGAATAATTATCAGACATTTAATACCAGCTATCAACTGCATTATTACTAATTCAGCAACAGAAATATTTTTTAGAAAACAGTATATTTTCAACAAAAATAAACATGATTAATAAGAAATAGGCATTTGGTTTAGTGGTATGATTCTCGCTTGCAAGAGATCCCTAGTTCAATTCTAGAAATGCCCCATTCTAGTGTATTTTTGCCTCCCTATATGACAATTACTCAATCAAAATAAATAAACAAAGGAAAACACCGTTTGCCTCTTCTACAGCAGGGCAACCTCCCTGCAATCTCAGTCATAAGAAAAGAAAAATTACATGTTAATAACTTATGCAACAGCTGTGCTTTTGTTCCATTAAGAAATTTAAAGCTACAA